TTACTCATTTTCTTTTTATTCCCTGTTTTAATGTTATAATTTTATAAATTACATTTTTGGAACACTATGTCCCACAGGAAGAAGTTAAAAGAATAGTAGAATTATTAAATCAATCTGAACAGCTGTGACAAATAAAGGGTAATTCCTTCCTAAATTAGATTCGCCTTACTTAACTTGTGAATATTTGCATAGGCTTTGATTATAAATTTTAAATTGACATTAATTGGTTTTTTTCCTATCATAATTTTGTTATTACTAACATATGAGATAGTTATCAAATGAGGTGAGTTCTTTACGGTTTAAATTCTGAGTCCATTTTTTATGCATTCTTATATGATAAATTAACATTATTTTTTTTTGAGATCTTATGATGATCTTATTTATCATTGAAAAATGTGGCAAGAATTAAGTTAAATTTAAAAAAGTGCAAAGTAATGATGATGTTCTGGTGTTACAGATCTTTTAAACAATATTTATAATTGCTAAGCAAAATAATATACTGTCTTTTTCTTAATTTATAATATAAAAACTATTTCATAGAAATGTATGAATAATTATCTAATAAAACAAAATTTTATATATTTTTCTATTAAGCTGACTTTATTTGTAATAAATATAGAAAAAAATTCAATTCTGACATCACTTGCTGATGAGCTATTAGAACTAATAATTCTATTTTCCTTGTTAATTTAAAGTTTATTCTTAACCCTAAGAATCTTAGATTTAAATATCATTTAAAATACCTTTACTAGTATACCAAGCCCTTAAACTCTTGTTTTTTGAGCAAAATTAATATTTTTTAATTTTAAGTAAATTCACAAAGCCGATTTCTAACCTATTGTTTTCTTTGATAATTTAGGCTAAAGTTAGTTACTATTATTAGCCTTCAAAATGATATTAGGCAATAAGTGAGTATTGTTTAATTTATTGATAATGAAAGAAAATTCTTTATAATTCCATTTTTTAATCAATTTTTTGGATTATATGATAAAAATATGAGATAGTATATTTAATTTCTTAGATTTAATTAGATTATGGTTGATATCTCTTAATATTAAATGTAGGTTTAATAATGTAAAGGAAAATAAAGGTTTTTTGTGATAATGATGATGCAATATGCAAATTTACTAAAGATTGCCTTTTTTTTAAATATTTTAAACCAATTATGTTTTTTGATTCTCATTACTTAATACTGTTAAAACTAATAGAGTAGAGTTAATTTTTTTCCAATCTTCCCTCTGTCTCAAACAAAGTTAAATTTCATCTAGTTGTTATTTTATTTAAATTCCTTAGAAAGGAGCAGAATTTTAATTTATTTAGTCTCGCTTCCTCGATAAAAATGCCACTTTTAAAATATTGTTTTTATTTCACGATCTGATTTAATTTCCCTTTTATTATTGCATCATATTTATAAATAACTTTTTATTTAATTTCATTCTTACATCTATATAAATATATATGGTTTGGTAACAATAAATATTATGAATCTAATGAATTAGAATTTTAAACAATAATTCTCAATTATGAATCAGAAAAAAAGTTATGATTAATTATTCTATATTCATTATCCTAACTTATTTCAATTGCATCAGAAAGTTTCAATATATGATAAATTCTGAAATTGAAACAGAAAATCTTTTTTTGTTAATAATTTATATAGAGTCAGATTATATTTTAATAAAAATGAATCTAAATTAGAATAATCTAATTTCAATATTTTCACATTAATTATATAATCTATAAACAAAAGTGTATTCAATTAGAACTAGTTCTTGCCACCTTTATTTAACTTGCATTCTATATTTGACCTTTAATCTTTTTTTTTAATCCTTTTTTCCTTTTGTTTTCTGAATTGTTGTGTTAATCTACACATTCAGTTCTTAGTAATGAATTTATCATTTCTTATGCAAATAATGTGTTTATATTTTATTCTATCAATAAATACTATCTTGTATATTAAATCTTCATTTTTCTCAAAATTCAAATGTATATTTAATTTTATTTCACCTTAAGTTTAATGATAATTATTATTTTAAGTAGGATTATATTATTCTATTATAAGAAATTTTAATTATTCAAATTATAAAAAGCAATCATCATGATAATGACAGTCTTAAGAAACTGTTATATTTTAATTGATTAATCAAGAAAACGATTCATTTTATTTTATTAGTGTTTTTGATTTACATTATTTATAATAAAAGAGGAAAATCTTATTAATACTAACGTTTCCTAAATTCAAGAAATTTTTTAATTAGTAATTAAATGCGGCCAGGCTATTATTAATGAATCAAAAATTGATAATAAAACAAAAAGCTCAAATACTTTTGATCATATTTTAGATTTTCTGTAAAAATAAAAATATTTTTAGAAGATTATTATTTATAAATCAAAATACTTTCTATTTGATTTTTAATATTTAATTTAACTGCAAATATATTCATATCTGACAATACTATTTATTTATGATTATATAGAAATTGAATTTTCAATATTCTAATATAGAAATTTAGTAAATAGAAGGTAAAAATTGTATCACCGATTTGAATTTAAGTAAGCAAACTAAAATATATGTATTTAAACAATAATTTTTCATATTGATTCAATATTTCAGAGGAATAGTTCATTCTTAGCAAGTTGTATCTTGGCTAAAATTTTGATTAGCTGTAGTTATTGACTTAATAAATATATAAATTTGATTTCTACCTCTTAATTTATCTTGTTCTAACAAAAACTTTGAAATATTTAAGAACATCTTAAGCATTTAGATTAATAGTTTGAGAAAATCAAGATCTATATGAAATATAAAATCATCTATTCAAAGGTTTAGAGTTAAAAAGCATTTGAAGCAAAATTCTTTATAATTTTAATAATCATATTTTAGTACATATTTATCATAACGGAAGAAATCCTTATTGACATCAGGGTCCTTTTAACACATTAATTATGGACCGAAACATCAAGTTTTTGTTTACAATACCTAACCAAATCCATAACTTAAACGCTCTTCACTCTAATTCAAGTCTATTCCTTAATTTTTAAGATAATTATTTATCAGTAAATTATCCTCATTTTGGACTGAAAAACTTTTGACACTGTTCACCTTCATCCTACACAATCGTATCAATTAATAATAAAATCTCTCTTTATCAGTTATCACAGGAAGTAATAATCTATTAGAATTAGAAAATTAATTTTTAATTTCTTCTTATTCATTCTAATGAAACAGGCCAACTTTCAATATTTGCCTATATCTTTTCCTTAGGTTATCTCCCTCCTCACACATATATCATCTCCCTCCTCACACATATATCATCATCCTAAGAGCTAGCCGAGCAAGTGTTACATTAATTATGTTATATAATTATTCATGTCGGAGGCCTTCAATGGGTCGAATATAATAGTATTTCCCTGTAGGTTGGTTGTAAGTCAAACTTTCCTCTTCATCACCCAAAAAGGGGAATTGTTCAACTTATTTTTACTCAAACTTATATATTTATATCCTTAAGATGTGAATAATAATATTTTGTGAATAACCTTGGATATCTAAAATTATCTGTTTAAATAATTTTAAGTATTGATTAAGTCTAAATCTGTAAATAAACAATATCTTCAAGACTTAGATAAATAAATTTTTAATGGCTAGAATGAAATAATAGGATTAAGTGACCATAAAGTAAATATAAAATGTGGTTAATACAAAACATCATAAAGATTGTACTTTAGAAGAAATCTTCAAATAAATGCCATCTAATATTAAATTTCGAAAAAATAAACTGATTTCGACATATAAATTAATGTTAAATTTATAGGATATTATGTTAGAATAAATGATAATTGATTAGTGTAATAAGTCTTTCTAATTTAATGCAGATTGAATATAACTTAGAGAATATGATAAAGATTAATAATTATTATTAGGTTTTCTATTGAAAATAAGTTAATTTAAATTGGCAATTTCTAAGTCTTTCATATCACTCTTTAGAGAGTATAAAAATAAAATAATCCCGAACATCTAAATAATTATTATAAATAGTTAAGGCTAAACTCGATCATAAATCTTTATTTTCTCATCTGAATTATGCCAAAAATTAGAAATCTATCTTTATTTAAAGAGATTCTGCAATTCTTCCAAATTTAACACTTATAGCGGCTCTAATTAATTCATTCCTTCCCATATAACCAATATTTTTCCTAATGTTGATAGAAAGGATTTCTGGCCATGATTTTAGACTTTAAAATTAAACAACTAGAAGTTGATTTTTTTCTAAAATGTCTTTTTCGTAAATCAGAACAGCTGCTTTACAAAATAATTTAAGAAGACTTCAATCCTTTGGAAATTGTGACAACCAATTATTAGGTTTTGAAATAATAATGAGATTAAATTATTTCAATTCTTTATGGTTCAAAGTTATCAAGAAGAAAATTCTTAATATTCTAACAAATATAAACCTGCAATATTTTCAATTTTCTCCAAAATAACAATGAAAATATTTTTCCTGTAACAATTAAATTTTATATAATAAGCAACTTCATCAAATTCAAAAACGGCAAAATGGTCAATTTGTCAATTTTTTTGACTTTATCTGATGAATAAATGGATATTTTTATGGTCTAATTAGTTTCTTCGTTTGCTAAAATTAATTATAGTCATCAAATACAATTTGAATGGTACTTTATTGAAAATACAACCATAATTTAAATCAATATTTATAAATATATTTTATATTATTTAAATCAAAATATTATATTATCTAATAATTTTATTTTAGAATAATTAGTAACATGGATATAATTTTTATGATGTATCATGTGAATAAATATAACCATCTTTATTTATTAAATATGTTCTATTATAATATAATTATATAACCATACCCAGTTTAATAACAATTCTAATAATTATATTTCTACATAATGTCTCTAAATCCTATTCCAACATGAAAATTTGATCCACTAAGTATTTAAAATGCAAACTATATTTTTCCAATCTTTGGAATTGCTTATTCACAAAGACAATAATAAAATTAACCACTATTAGCAACTTCTGCCACAAGTTTTCCAGTTTCACTTAGTTAACAATTATTATGTTTATAAGTATTTGAAAATGATAATGATTTATTATATTATTGAATCTAAAAATAATATAATAAATTGATTATAATAATACTTTTTCTAATTTAATTTTATTTTTTTAATCAAGTTTACTTAATGCTTCTTTTAATTCTGATTCTTTTTAACTTAAATTTTGATTAAATTCCTATTTTAATTTGTTTTCTAAGGAATAAAATCAAAATCATTACATTCATCTTCCAATTTCTTCATCATTGTCATCTTATCTAATTCATATTATTCTTTCATATCCTTTTATTCTTTTTCCTTTAATTATA